TACAGTTTGTAGCCATAGTAGGGCTGGAATTGGATGTTCTAATAGCTAGGTGGCCAAGGTAATGAAATTCTTGCGGTAGGATGCAATAGAGTGGCGTGATAGGCTGATTATGGCCAAAGACTATGGGACAAAATTATGCAGGGTTTCATTAATGGTTTTCCAATGTCGACTTCTCTCCTCGGTCATGATAAAATGGCATACACAATGTAGGTGCTTATTAATATTTAATGTTCAAGATAAGATCCTATCAAACTTTTAAAACTTTTGCCATATAATGACTTTTAGGTTTTTTAAAAAAAATGCTATGGGTATATTTGCCCAGGTTTTGGTTTGAAATTTCCAAAAATTTTGGACCCCAGCGTGAAACTATTTCGCTCGGAAAAAAAATAGAAAAAACAATTTTGATCAAAGTTTACTCAAATGCGGTCAAAATATTTTGAACTTTCCTAAAATCCGGAAATTTCCGGCACTCCCGGTAGATTTATGCCTAAGGAAATTGTGTGCCCTATATTTGTCTTGAAAAAATAATTAAATTAAATTTTGTTCTAATCGTTAAATATTTATGACCAGTTTCTCTACATACGCTTGAAATATTATCGAAGGCTTGAAATACATCTCCATATTTCTAGGGTCTGGTACACATCCAACATGTGAGGGTGTATTTTTAAAGATAGGTAGAGTACATCATCAATTTAGGATTTAAGTTTGGTGGGCCGCACCAGTTATCCATCTGGTCGCATGTGGGTCTCTAAGTAAACATGGTGTTTATGTATTTCCTTCATCCCAAAATATACAACTATGTAATTCCTTCATTCCAAAATATACAACGTCGATGACTTTTTACGTAACATTTGATCATTCATCTCATTAAAAAAATATAAAAATATTATTTATTTTGTTGTGACTTGTTTTATTATCAAATAAACTATAATCTTAACTTATACTTTTATATATTTATACTAATTTTTAAAATAAGATGAATACTCAAAACGTTACGTGAAAAGTTATCGGCGTCATATTTTTGAGACGGGTGTAGTTCTATATTGGAGAAATATGAAACAATCGAAGCACTGATCTACACAATACATGCATTCCAAAAGACGAGTCTTATTATGCTTTGAATTTATTTTTCACTTCAAACACGAGCCTACCTGTTACATGTAAAATAGTATGATTCCACTTATACAAATTACTTGGAATCCCAAATTCACCTAAATAGCAGTTTGTTTATTTAATATTCTTTTACAAAATGACACCCCCTTCATCCATAAATATAAATGATTATAGGTTATTTGGCAGAGATCAAGGTTAAATAAAATAACAACTTTGATGCCCACAAAACTTTAGTTGATTGGGAAAGATCATGCGTAGCGATCGATGCGCCGATGCAATTAGTAGTGAGCAATACTGGTTGGATTGAGAAAGTGGTACTTCAAAATTCTTTATATTTACAGATAAATTTTAAATTTAACCTCACATATTTTGTATCTGTGGACGGAGGGAGTCCCGAGGGAGTAGTTACAAAATCTCCACGGTGTTCGCTTAATTAGATTTTGCATTTGTTTAAGAAAAACAAGATTGGTCCTTTACGAGTAGTGTGGGGCATGGACCAAAATAGGCACGGAAAAGGTCTTAAGGGAAAAACATGATCATGGCGACTTTGACATTTGGTGAAGAATCTCTGGAGTTGGCAATAGGTCAGACAGCGTGACAGGCGTATGTTGTTCACCATTTTTCTGAAGAAAGATTTTTTTTTTAAGGAAGTTGTTCACCATTTTGAGCCGACGGAAAGTTTAGAATGGATAGTTTAGTGGTATAGTAAAAATAGTATGGATAGTTAGTATGGCCCCATTATCACCTTAAATTAATAGTCCAGATCCACCCTCCTTTCACCACGAAAATATAGGTAAAATATGCTATATTTCATTTTAAAACAAAGAAAGCACATATTTAGCTGGATTATGCCACAAGGCTATATGAGTTATGGATGGACAGCCCTTCGATGTCGCCTGAGCTAGTGAACTCATAATAGTAGGACACTGTTAGCAAGAAAAAAAAACAAAACATCACCGCATAATTAAAGAGTATTGGTCTCCAGATCTCAATTATTAATTTGCGAGCTCTACTATTAATAAAAAAATAATCTACTACTAATCGTTAGACGGTACTACCTCCGTTTTAAAGTATAACAACTCTCAACTACGAATTTAGACATATGCTTGTTTAAATTCGTAGAAAAAAATAGTTTAATTTAGAATAAAGGGAGTAGTATAAATAGATATAAATGATAAAAAAATATAAACAGATATGATCCATTGAAAAAATATGGAAAGTCTGAAATATATTTCAGGTGAGTGAATACTTTGAAATCTCAGCCGTTTCTTCTGCCGTTGGATGCATAATAAAGGGTGGATGCTAAAAACCCGCAAAACCAACTGGGTGTATTAATGGATCTGTTTGCAGGCTCGTTAAGCATGTGACAAGGCCAGAATATACAAGAAAAAAGATTGGGCTTTTTGTATTGCCCTTGTCTATGGGCTAGGCTTTGTGTGCATTGTCGGGTTTATGGGCTTTGTGAGCTGGGCTTTGATCTTTGGGCTTTTTATGTGCTAAAAGTGTGCTTTTGTGGGCTTTGCCCGTGTAGCTACATTTATTGGGCTTTCATGGCTACAATCAGAAATCCTAAAATATAACAAATTATAACTATAAATTTGGACAGACAAGTATTTGTTCAGATTGATAGCTAATAAAAAGCTTACTATATTTTAGAACGAAGAGATAATTATTACTATAGGATAAAAAAGGCCTTTCAGATATGCAAAGGATTATTATCTTCAATCATGCTCCGATGCTCGCCCTCTTGTTATAATGATATTATCAGTTCCCTTTTCGGGCATGTTTTTTGCAATTTTCCGATTCAACATCCTCCCAATCCCACAGATAAAAATTCATATGAAATTCTCAATCTGCATGAACATATCCTATCCCCTTTTTATGTTTGAAATATCAGCCCCGGTGCTTTGTTTTTCGCTAGTTTTGGATGAGAGAAATTAACTTGTAGTACCTGATTTGCTAGGTTCAAATTACATTATCCCTCCACCATAAAATAAAATAAAAAGTTATATATACGAAACTGGACGTAGGTTATGTTCACATTCATACTACCACCGTACCAAAAAACTTGTTCTTTTGAGTTTTCGTTTGTAATATTTGACCATTCATCTTATTCAAAAGATTATAAAACTATTATTTATTTTGTTTGTGACTTGCTTTATTATCGTAAGTACTCTAAGTATGACTTTTTTTTATATTTAAACTATTTTTTAGTGAGACAAATGATCAAACGTTAAAAAAAAAATCAAAACGATACCTAATTTGGGGGAGTATCTATAAAAGTTGACTAATTTAGGGAGGGAGCTACTAAATTAAAATTCAGATTAAATGCTTGCTACTATCAAAATTACACTTTACATGACACCGAAAACGTTGCATTAAAAAAACATTTACCCCGGGGCTTGTGCTGTGTCAGGTGTGGGGCCCACTTGTCTGTCGTTGCTCGCTGAGTCCGACGTGGACTCGACGCGGCCACCCTTATCCCTGCGCTTTTTCCAGCCTACGTGGCATGGATGGTCCCACACGCACCATCTGCACTGCACTTGCCAATAGTCCATTTATCTCTTTTTTTTTGTTTGTTTTCTCTTGCCAGAGAGGACCAATAATTTGTGGCCACGAATCCATCGAGCGTCAATAGTTTGGTTAAAAACTAACAGAAATCAAATCTCACAAGCATCAATTTTGTAGAGAAATTAAAAGGAGATCTTTTAACCAAGCACTCAATCCCATCGTCATCATCTCCATGAATTTCTAATCGTACAATCGCATCAAGCTAGTGCCCAAATTTATTGGACTGAAAACGAAATTACCAACTGAACTGAAAAAATATATTTTTTCAGCATGGTTGAATTATTTTGCAAAACGTATATGTTTTATTTTTTATGGTACATGTATTTTCCGTCTCAATTCAGGTCCCGTCGCTGTCTCCGGTTTGGAAATTTCTTTGATTGTCTGTTATACGTATTTTCACGAATTGTGATTATCCTAATCGTTCAAGGGAACATGTGGTTGATTTTGTAAACTTAATCGAAGTTGGTCAAAATCAACTTTTAGTTTGCTTTGCACGAGAGGTTATTTATTGGTCAACAGTATGTAAAACGGTTTATTAAAACTTTGGTCAGGTCATGAGAACATGCCTTTTTTGACATTGATGAATAAAGTCATAAAGATGCTACTTATCACTAATTTACATCACAAAAGAATTACCGGCCCCAACAAAATAATAATCTAAGAAAAATACTTTTTCAGAAAAAAGAATATAGATATGATTTTCATCGACCCAATCGAAATATATTAAAATAAAGCTTCACCTGAAACATTCTAAAATAACATGTTTTCGTACCAAGAGAGCGAGTATATATATATATATATATATATTTATTAAAGCATGTCCCATGGTACAATAATCTCGAATTAGTGGTTCAAGAATTTTGTCAACCAATGATGACACCTAATCGGAACAAAAATAAAAACATGATACTACTACTACTCTCTCCGTCCCACAATATAAGGGATTTTGAGTTTTTAATTGCAACGTTTGATCACTCGTCTTATTCAAATTTTTTTTGCAAATATAAAAAACGAAAAGTTGTGATTAAGTTACTGTAGATAATAAAGTAAGTCACAAATAAAATAAATAATAATTTTAAAAAAATTTGAATAAGACGAATGGTCAAACGTTGTAAGTAAAAACTTAAAATCCCTTGTATTATGGGACGGTGAGAGTACTTAACAACCCACAGAAAAATAAAATAAAACTATAAAAGCAAGGAAAATATCTGGAGTAAGGAAATAAAAACAAGAGGCAGGAGAAGCTTTACACACAAGCACAATAGACTATATAAAAACAAAAAAGAAACAAACAAATAATATAATAATAATAATAATAATAAATTCCCTTTCCCTTCAAAAGAAGAAGCAGAGCGACCTGCTTTTCAAGAAGCCATGGCCGCCTCCTCCTGAAATCGCCGCCGGCTTCCCTCTCCGGCTCTCCCCCACCTAGATGCATGGCGGCCGCCGGTGGCGGTCGGCGGCCGTGGCGATCTGCCTGCTGCCGGTCGTCCTGCCGCTGGCGCTCCTCTGCCTCCCGCTGCTCTGCTTCGCCGTGACCGTCGTCCGGTTCCGCCGCCGGCGGCGGCTGAGGATGGCCGCGAGGAAGGGGAAGGCGCCCGGCTGCTGCTTCGTCGACGGGGAGGAGCGGACGTCTCCGGAGAAGGAGGAGGGCGGCGGGAGCCGCGCGGCGCTGCTGCTGCAGTATCTGGAGGACCAGATGGAGCTCGTCGGCGGCGGCAGCGGCGGCGAGGCGGAGGAGGGCAAGAAAGCATCGGCGCCAATTGGAGACGAGCATCACGAGCTTAGCTAAGCTTGGAGATCAAGATTAATTTTACGATTTTTTTTTTGTTGTTGTTGTTTGATTGATGATATGCTCTGCTTCTTGGAGGAAAAAAAATTCGTTACATGCCCAAAAAAAATTAAGAAAATATTTCCTTTTCTTTGCTCGAGTTTTTTTTTTTGTTGCTGCAGTAGTAGATATATATTATTAGGAGAGGTGTTGTTGAGAGCATGTGATCTAGGAGTATTTGATTAGATGATTCATGCAGGTGATGCCTGACAGCTTCATCTGTTAGACAATTGGATTGGGAGTTGATTGTTCCTCTGCCCTGTTTATCCTCTGCTTTTTTTTTGCTCATCTGTCTTCTTGTTTCAGTTATTAAGCCTAAGTATATCATCTGATCCTATAGTTGCAGTTTTTTTTTTTGCAAGTTAGTTGCAGTTGTTGAGAGCTACTCTTGATTAGTTGTAACATCCCGGCCTAGGGCTTAATAGGATTAATAGAATACTCATACCAATAAGTTACAACTTCTTTTCCGGAAGCCAATCTCCAAAGAACTCTAGGGTTAAGCGTGCTTGGCCTGGAGCAATTTGGGATGGGTGACCGACCTGGAAATTCTTTCCGGGTGCACACGAGTGAGGACAAAGTGTGTAGAAAAGACATGTGAGGCATGGTGCGCATGGCACATGCGCTGGCACTGGACACATGGACGTGGCCAAGAGAGTGAGGGCAGTCTATGACCTATGAAAGCTATCAGATGTAAGTGGGCCCGGACGTTACAAAGTGGTATCAGAGCCGACTCTCGCGGTTTCACGGGCGCGTGTGTCGCAGTTGCGCAGGCATGGTGCGCATGGCTGGTGTTACAAAGTGGTATCAGAGCCGACTCTCGCGGTTTCACGGGCGCGTGTGTCGCAGTTGCGCAGGCATGGTGCGCATGGCTGGTGTAGACCGGGAGTGGTTACACAGCATGGCACATGCGCTGGCACTGGACACATGGACGTGGCCAAGAGAGGACGTTCCTGGCCTAGGGTTGATCGACGGGGGCGTCGATCTCTCTTAAGGGGGTGAGGGTGTAACATCCCGGCCTAGGGCTTAATAGGATTAATAGAATACTCATACCAATAAGTTGCAACTTCTTTTGCAACTTCTTTTCCGGAAGCCAATCTCCAAAGAACTCCAGGGTTAAGCGTAAGACATGTGTTGGTCTGTGAGGGCAGTCTATAACCTATGAAAGCTATCAGATGTAAGTGGGCCCGGCCTGGGGGAGGCGGGACGTTACATTAGTACTCCCTCCATATTTGAATGTACGACACCGTTGACTTTTCGACTAATGTTTGACCATTCGTTTTATTTAAATTTTTATGTAAATATGAAAATATTTATGTCATGCTTAAAGAATATTTGATGACAAATCAAGTCACAATAAAATAAATGATAATTGCATAAATTTTTTGAATAAAACGAATGGTCAAACGTTGGACAAAAAGTCAACGGTGTCATACATTAAAATATGGATGTAGTACTAGATTAATTGTGCAGGTGATGCTTGATAGCTTCATCTATTAGCCAATTAGACTGGAAGTGTTTTGTTCCTCTGCTGTGTCATCCTCTGAACTTTTGCTGTTTCAGATCAGATCAGATCCTAGTTATAATTCTTGACTGAGCTTCAAGAGAAAGGGTTTGATTTTTGAGTGTAGTGATGTAGATACAGCTATTGTATCGATGGTGTGTGATTCAGAGCTGTGAAGTGTAGATCACCAGTTCATCATCTGTCTTCTGCTACCTGACTCATAATAGTAGAGAGTGAAATATAAACAGCCGTGTTTCTGTATACAAGAGAATGATGTGTCCCCTTCATCTTCTTGTTTTTTCCACCCAAAAGAATCAAAATTATACAAATGGAAAAAGAAAAATAAGGCGATCTTTTTTTTTTAGCTCTCACATAGCCCCAAACGAAACATACTTTTCATTTACAGTTAGAAGATTTTTCATGTAGCTCTCAAATAGCCCTCACCCTTTCTTCTCACCCAATAGAAAGAGGGGCTACCACAAGTCTGAAAATGAGTTGCTCTCTAAGAGCAAGTTTAATAGTATAGTCCACTACTAGCTCCAAATCATCTATAGCCAATGTAATAACCAATTCATACAATAGTTGCTTACTATACTATTAATATCTTGTCCCATCTGTCATACACACATTACATCTTGAAGTCTGTGCTGCAGCTCTTCTCTCTCTTATTATAAAATATGTTTATAGCTGGCTTATTTTGTTTTCACTTTCTGTAATGGGATCAGCATTAATACATTTTATAGATAATTTTTGGTAAAATTCTGCACGAAACTCAGCAATAACAAGGTACACCATCGGTTTTATATTATTAAGTCATTTCGATTTTTTTTTTCTATTCAAACATTTTTAAGTTTGATCAGAAAAGATATAGCAACATTTCAAACGCAAAATAAATATATTATCATAATATATATAATGTTATATTTAATGAAACTAATTTGGTGTTATAATATGTTACTAACTTTTGTTATAAACTTGGTCAACTAGTAAAAAGTTGTAATATGAACGAAGGGAGTATTTCATATAGCTGCTTGCTAATGTAATACATATAGAAAACATAGCACTGAAACATAGTCGACGACTTAATTTAATTTTTCGCAGAAAAGCATATAGCAATCAAAGATCAATTAAGCTCCATGTAAATCTGTTACTAATTCTCATAATAATTCCTGGCTTACTTTGATGCAACGATAACGATCAGTATCACCTCCCAATTATCTAGACAAGATCATCGCCTTGCACCGGCGAGCTGTTCGACGCGGACTCCGGCGACGTCGACGGCGGCGACTTCGCCGGGCAGCTGATGATGTCGCGGGCGGCGAAGTAGTAGCCGAAGAAGGCGGCGGTGGCGACGGCGTCGAAGAAGATGACGGCCATCCCGGCGGCGGCGCTGAGGTGCTTGGCGACGGTGAAGGCGACGAGCGCGACGTAGGTCACGCGGAAGATGCCGCGAGCGCGCCGATCCCGGCGAGGACGCCGACCCACCCGGCGAGCGCGCCGCACGTCGCCGACGAGAGCGCCCACACGACGGCCGCCGGCTCGCCGCCAGCGCGGCACAGCGCCCACACGCCGAGCGCCACGCACAGGACCGACAGCGAGGAGAGGCCGCACGTGGTGCCGCAGTCGTCGCCGCCGCCGACCTCCTCCTCCCCGGCGCCGTGCCCGGCTGTTCGCCCTGAACAGCACCACCGGCGTCGGCGGTGGCGGCCGCGGCGGCGGCGCGTCTGTCGTCGTCCAGCTCGTCGTCGGAGTTGGCCGCGACGGCGTCGTAGGCGGCGGAGTCCATCTTGCGTGGTGGCGTTGGTGTTTGGTGCGACATCTTGGCGACGAGAACGAACAAGCTAGGGCTACGTAAAATTATACTATGAAATTAATTGCTGGGATTTACTAGGGTCTTAATAATCGGTGGATAAAATTAAACCCCGGAAAAAAGGTAGTAATAATTACCACGAATATTTCGGGATGATTTCTTCACCAAAGTAAAGTAAAGATTGAAATAGAGATGGATTCGGTAATCAATTCTAAGGGTTTCCATATTTCAGAACGAATTAACATTTTGAGATTTCGGTCCCTACGACTGTGGTTTTCTTTTATTTTAGCTGAAAAATTCAAGATTTCTTAAGTTTAGTAAAATTTATTAAGGCATTTTTTTCTGTACAATTTTGCATGCAGCTAGATTAAAAAAAAGGATAATAGGAATGCAATCCAGCCTTTACAGTCGTCCGTAATAAAAAAGAGGGCAGAAAAAATGTCACGCAAAAAATAAAACGCCATCGAAAAAAAGGCAAAATTTGGATCGGTTTCTCGGTGACGTACTTTTTGGTTTTTTCACACACGCGTCGACGTACTTCCCGAGTCCTGCGGGAGTCCTCCGTGCGTTACTAAATCAGTTTGGGTCAGGTTTTTCTGCACGTATATATCCTATTCACGATCACAATTTGATTCGATAAGTTTCAAGATTTTTTTTTCCGTTGGTAGAGATAGCATCCATCCAGAAATCGACCGCGTCGGTGCTGATCAAATGCGATGCTAACAACCCACAAAACTTTCCTTGAGCTGAGTCTGCCAAATAAAAACATGAAGCAAAAGCCTCATTGTGACCTAAACTCCTCTCGTCACCTAGCTTGTTGCTCCCACCAAGCGGCCAAAGCCAATCAATGTAAGCCCATGACGTGCTCTCGACTATCGTCCATACGATACTTACAATACTTGAGGCGAGGTGGGAGTGGGCGGCAGCGGCGACGACGGCCAGGAGGAGGAGTGACGAGACGCGGAGGAGGACAGAGAGGGTGGCGGCCTTGTCCCGCGAAACGGCGGCGGTGCAAGGAAGAGGCAGCCGCAGATCACTGGCGACAGCCTCCGCATTGCCGCGGGGAGATCTTTGCCGTCGCCATCGCCGCGGGATAGGACGAACGCGATGGCCGAGGCGAATAGCAGAGACAGGACGCACATGGCGGCGCAGGGCAGCGCCACCACGGAGCTTCCCTTTGCCTTCTCGCCGCCGCTGGGCGGCGGCCTCCATGTTAGCCACCTCGACCATAGGCTTTTGATGATGATGTGTACACGTAAGGCCCACTTATCTTTTTCGTCGCTTATTATCGCGTACAGTTTTGCTATAAATCTACTAACGAATTCCTTCCTTTTTTAGGAGAAAATTTTTCCACAAATATATAGATAGTCCCTGTCGCGTACATAGATCACTTTTCCAGCATTCCTGCCCGGCATTACCCAAATGGGTCAGGCCTCATGGACCCCAATAGAACCCTTGAGCTTAGTGATTAAAAAATAATTTGTGAGTAATTTTTGTATGTGTGTCTTTAACGGCTAAAAAGTTATTGCTGAAAAAGAAACTACGTTGAAAAAACATCAAAATTAAGTTAATCGTATTATGAGTAAACTAAAAACCGACCCCATTAAGGGCTCACCACGACAAAGGCATTGGAAAAGATTGATGGGTTAATCCTCTTCGATTTCCCTTCCATCCCTTTAAGAGAGAATTAACAAAATAAGGCCTAAATCGAAAAACCGAGTGCTCACCCCTGTGTGCACATGAAGTAGTTCAAGATCAATCCCACACAACACAACACCAAATGCATTCCGCCGCCCCCCGGCCCGGTGCCACCCAAAAACCTTTCATCCATAGTACACAAGCTGACCAACATATCAGGTGAGAAAAAGAAACATCAACATATTGGGACAAGAAAATAAATATCAGGAAGTTGAATAATGATGGTGAACTTCTCAATAGTTGGGAAAACGCCGGGGATCGGGCGCCCAACGTGCATAAGAAAAATCGCCCCCCCCCCCTCAACACACATGCGCGTGCGCCTC